ACTGCCCTGCTACCCTTCTTACGAAAAAAAAAAATCGTCTGGGGATCGTTTCTGGATGGGCTGGTGGGGACACGCGAAACGTCAATAATTGGTCACAATAGATATGCGGGTGTTGGGGGCCGCCTCCGACAAATATGAAGAATGGGAGCATCTCTGTGGTAGAGAATATCAGAAGCGAACACGTAAACATGGCCACGCGAAACTTGCTAAATGTTGCGCGTGGAGCCATGAAGGCGAACGCCCAACGAAGAATCGAATGCCCGACGCAGCAGCAGAGCATCTACCAGGGCTAGAGGACAGAAGCAGCGGTGTCAGTGATCTGGCCCACAACAGAGCCGCATCCTTCCAAGGCGGCTGGTTGGATGCCGCATCGCGGATCGCGAAGACGGCGCGAAACACAATCTCGGCCGACTCCTGCCGATAACCGCGCCCTCGGGCCGTCTCCGCGCAGAGGGGGTCCGCACTGGCGGCCAACGTACAGAGCCTCACAGAGACAACAGACACCAGCATGATCAAGCAAGGCTTGCTACTGCGACTGCGAGCACTGAGGAGGCTTTCTGCCCCCCCTCACCCGTCTCAAGCAGAGACACTCTCTTGGCGCAATCAACAGGAGGAGTAAAACTCGGCGCGGTGCAAACGTCCGTCTTCGTCGTCGTCGTCGTGGTCGTCGTAGTCGTCGTCGTCGTCGTCGTCGTCGTCTTAGTCTTAGTCGTCGTCGTCGTCGTCGTCGTCTTGGTCTTAGTCTTGGTCGTCGTCGTCGTCGTCTTGGTCTTAGTCGTCCTCGTCGTCGTCGTGGTCGTCTTAGTCGTCGTCGTGACGACGACGACGACGACGACGACGACGACGACGCCTACGGCGACGACGACGACGACGATCGCGACGACGACTAAGAGTAAGACGACGACGACGACGACGACGGCGACTAAGACGACGACGACGACGACGACGACGGCGGCTACGACGACCAAGACGACGACGACGAGGACGACTAAGACCAATACGGCGACGACGACGACGACCAAGACTAAGATCAAGACGACGACGACGACTAAGACTAAGACGGCGACGACGACGACGGCTACGACGACCATGACGACGACGAAGACGGAGGCTTGCACCACGCCGGGTTTTGGATCTAAGGTTGTCTTCTTTGATGGTCGATCTGTGCGGAAGACATAAGCAGGCGGGGATTTTGGCTGAGGCGGCACATCTGGTACATGATAACGCAGCTTTCCGAAGGTGAGCTCAATGATCACGGGAATCTCATGTGGACCAAAAGGGGGAGACCTTGCTCGGGTTTGATTTCCAGCACGAGAAAATACAGGCGCTGTGGTGCACACAGGCACTGTGGTCTACACTGGCACTACACAGGCATTGCGGTGAACACATGCACAGTGGTCTACACAGGCACTGTGTAGCGGTGTGGAACGACCGGGATATTTGCGAAGTGCTCCATGTATTTGTGAAACGATTTATGTAGTTGTTTAATTTTTCAGAACAGAGACAGTGTGGTAAACACAGGCACTGTGGTCTACGTGGGCGCATGCATTGTGCTGAACACGGGCGCTGTTCAAAACAAGCGATCCAGTTATTTGTGAAATTGCGCGTGTATTTCTGAAACGATCTATGTAGTTGATCATCGTTTAACTGTGCCTCTTGGCTTGTGTGAAACTCGCAGTGTAGAGGTGTGAAACGAACCAGCTATTTGTGAAGTGGCCAATGTATTTGTGAGACGATTTATGTAGCCGTTCAATATATTATGAAAAGAGGCGCTGTGGTGAACACAGGCACTGTGGTCTACACAGGCACCACACAGGCACCCTGGCGCACGCAGGCACAATGGTCTACACAGGCATTGTGTAGCGACTTTGCCGTCAGAGGAAGTAGCCAGCCCTTCAGGGTCCTCGAAGGGGTGGGGCATCGCCCTCCCCGAAGGGGAAGAAGTGGGCTAGACGTGAAGCCGACCTAGACCACCTACGTCCAGGGAGCTGGGATGAGGATTTCGTTCCCAACCATCCTGTGGTGTTGGGTCCTCGTTTTGAAGAGACGGTGCCCCGCGTTCTCCCTCCTTCCTTCCTCCCGCTGCCTCCTCCCCCCTCCCATCATCATTATCATTAACACTCATTTCGGCACACCCTCACACGCTTCGTGGCTCCATAGGGAGCTCCACCGAAGGCCCCAGTGCCCGCGGCCGCATGCGTCCCCCACACCCATTTCGGCACACCCCTCACACGTTTCGTGGCTCCATAGGGAGCTCCACCGAAGGCCCCAGTGCCCGCGGCCGCATGCGTCCCCCACACCCATTTCGGCACACCCCTCACACGTTTCGTGGCTCCATAGGGAGCTCCACCGAAGGCCCCAGTGCCCGCGGCCGCATGCGTCCCCCACACCCATTTCGGCACACCCCTCACACGTTTCGTGGCTCCATAGGGAGCTCCACCGAAGGCCCCAGTGCCCGCGGCCGCATGCGTCACCCACACCCATTTCGGCACACCCCTCACACGTTTCGTGGCTCCATAGGGAGCTCCACCGAAGGCCCCAGTGCCCGCGCCCGCATGCGTCCCCCACACCCATTTCGGCACACCCCTCACACGTTTCGTGGCTCCATAGGGAGCTCCACCGAAGGCCCCAGTGCCCGCGCCCGCATGCGTCCCCACACCCATTTCGGCACACCCCTCACACGTTTCGTGGCTCCATAGGGAGCTCCACCGAAGGCCCCAGTGCCCGCGGCCGCATGCGTCCCCCACACCCATTTCGGCACACCCCTCACACGTTTCGTGGCTCCATAGGGAGCTCCACCGAAGGCCCCAGTGCCCGCGGCCGCATGCGTCACCCACACCCATTTCGGCACACCCCTCACACGTTTCGTGGCTCCATAGGGAGCTCCACCGAAGGCCCCAGTGCCCGCGGCCGCATGCGTCCCCCACACCCATTTCGGCACACCCCTCACACGTTTCGTGGCTCCATAGGGAGCTCCACCGAAGGCCCCAGTGCCCGCGGCCGCATGCGTCCCCCACACCCATTTCGGCACACCCCTCACACGTTTCGTGGCTCCATAGGGAGCTCCACCGAAGGCCCCAGTGCCCGCGGCCGCATGCGTCCCCCACACCCATTTTTCGTGGCACTCCACCCCTCACGGTTTCGGCACACCCCTCACACGTTTCGTGGCTCCATAGGGAGCTCCACCGAAGGCCCCAGTGCCCGCGGCCGCATGCGTCCCCCACACCCATTTCGGCACACCCCTCACACGTTTCGTGGCTCCATAGGGAGCTCCACCGAAGGCCCCAGTGCCCGCGGCCGCATGCGTCACCCACACCCATTTCGGCACACCCCTCACACGTTTCGTGGCTCCATAGGGAGCTCCACCGAAGGCCTCAGTGCCGCCGCCCGCATGCGTCACCCCCACCCATTTCGGCACACCCCCCGCATTTCTCGCACGGCAGGGTCATCACCACGGTGGCGTGCCAGGGGCGCACCATGCGCGAAGGCGACGGGGCGGGGGAACGGCGCTCCGGGGGCGGCCAGACCTCCGGGGCGCGAGCAGTCCGCGGCCAGACCATCTCTCGGTCCTGTGGACTCTCGCCCTGGGCCGTCGGCTGCCCGGCGCGCTGCTCCCTCGGTCGACGTCGCCCAGGCGTGATCCTGGATTGCGGCCGCCACGAGGTAGGGAACGGCAAGAAGGAGGACGACGACTGGTGGCTGGAGCTCTACGTGCTGCTCTCGCGCGCCACGCGCCACGAGGACCTCCTGCTCATGCGGGCGCCGCGCATCGAGTTCTTCCTGGCAGGGCCGCCGCAGGGCTTGCGGAAGCAGCTGGAGCAGTTTGCGGCGCGCACGAAGCGGCGCAGGAGGGAAGCGACGGCCCTCGCCAGGGAGCTCGGCTTCACCGAGTTCATCCGCGAGGCCTGACCTGAGGAGCGTCTCCCCCGAGCCGCGCCTTCTCTCGACTGCCCGACTAATTGTTTGGCCTCGCGCCGCGGACGACCCGCGCGCGTCGCTGGGACCCTCTCGGGGCGACCAGCGCGCGTCGCGGGAACTCCGTGCTGCGGGGGGCCCGGCGCCTCGTTCGCCCGTCGTCGCTCTGCCCAGCGGTCAGAGACTTGCCCGCTATCAGCCAGCCAGTTAGCTAGTCAGCTCTCTCTGCTTCGCGCAGCGGACGACCCGCGCGCGTCGCTGGGACCCCGCCCGGGGCGACCAGCGCGCGTCGCGGGGACTCCGCGCTGCGCTGCGCCCGCAGCCTTGGATTTTGGAGTGCGCGGGCAAAGAGGAAGGAAAAGAAGAGCCGAAAGCAGGCGCGATCCTCGCAAGAGGCGTGCCGACATGGGCGTCGCGACGTGCGGACGCTGCCGTCGGGGTTCCCGCGGAAGCTGCCTGCGGCGGCCACGCCCAGTGTCACGTGTGTTCGGACAGGCATGCTCGACACTTACACTAGGCGGTCCCATGATCGCATTCATGCAAATATATTCACTCGCGCGCAGACCCATTCATACTCAGATTCCCTCGCGCTCTGACTCACCCGCGTTCTTCTTCTCGTAATCAGATCTATCGTATTCCTTTGCGTTGTGTACCCCGCCACATTTCGGCACACCCCTCATGCGGTTCGTGGCCCCGTAGGGAGCGCCACCGAAGAAGATACTCACAATTGCGATACTCACACCTGCATATGGTTGGGTCCTTCGCCAGGATCATTTTTCGGAAGAGGGGTGTGGGGGTGTTGTCCCTATGTGCGCGCGTTCGCATTGCGCCCCGATGGGTTCGTGAACGGAGGCCTGTGGGCACCCCCTCGGCGAGAGACGCTCTCCCTTATCGGCATGGTGGTCGCCACCTTCCAGCCCCCCCTCCTGCGTTCCAGTGGAGGGCCACCCCTCTCCCCTGCCCCATTCGCGCCCCGCCCGCTGCCGCTTTTGCTCAGCGCCCCAGCGGTGCTACCTAAGGATATCATTCTTCATATTCAGACCATTCGTATCATCCTGGCATTCCTTTCATCTTAGATCGCGGCG